CGTGAAGCCTTGAAATGAATTTCACTCTCCCTTTCTCTTGCAATCTCCTTCGAAAAGTGACAGTGATTTCAAGGGTTTTATTTTCATTCTACTCGTCATTAAATGCGTATACCTGCATTTTCGTGAAGCACTATCGATAGCTGGCGCTCATTCGGTGCGAAAACATTTGACTTTAATCATTAATCAACTTTTCGGCTCATCAAGAAGGAACGTTGCGAGGCGGATTTTTCTTTTCTATTGAAGTATATCATTCGGAAGCTCATATGAAGAAACTTCTAAGCGCAAAAGTTTAGCTTTTTCTTACTTGTTCCCGTATAGTCCCATAACTCACACTACACTGTAGTAGAAAAACGTACAGTACGAAACCTAGCGAAATTCGAAACACTTTTTAGGTTTCGTTTGTGAGCACCAAACCGAGTTGAATGTTTGAATTGAAGAGTTTAAATTTGCCGAGTTTGACGAGCTGAACATGTTTTGTATCGCAATGAGCTTGAAATAGTGTTGAAATTGGTCAGGAATTAGATTTTAGTAGCAAAACTACCGCTGATTACAACTTGCCCCGCCTGCAAGCAAATGGGGAATTTTTTCGCGAGTCAAACTCTTTCAAGAATCCTTTCAAATGCAAAGACCCAGATATTATGCCCGTTTATTTAGTTCAAAACGTCTTGTTTCGTCGATGAGAAACACAATCATTGCGACTGGAATCACAGGCATATCTGTCGTTCAATTATGTATGGCTTTCCAAAACGCGTACATTTTTTCAACCGTTATGAAAGTATTATCGAGAGGTTGTTTCAGAGTTTCACGCTCACGACGTTGACACATGATTGCATAGACTGCAGCTACAAGTGTGTGAATTTGAATTTCGACAAGAAATTAAAGGAAAATCAAAGCGAGTTTTTTGTAGTCTTTGATGTTTATTATTCAAAGACAAAGCCATATCACAGAGAAACTCGATTGTGTCCAGATAGTGTATAAAAATGTGTTATAATAGCAATAAAAACACAGGCATATATAAAAGAACACGAAAGACAACACAAAACATAGGTCGATATCTAATCTACCCTCAGTACCTGCTTTTTAATCATGGATAAAGCAGACGCAGCAACACCGGATATCATGCTAATTACAATACTCTTTATTAGGGTTTGATCAATCCTCAGTCCGAAGAGAGTAATTGAATAGGCATCTCGATGGGAAGCCAAATGTTCACTTATCGCATTCAAATATTCAATGTCCCCAGTTGTCTTAGTACGTGTACGTTTCGATGTCACTTGAAGTGCTTCCTTTTTCGTACGCAAGAGCAATTCAAGTACATTTGTTGTTGCTGTTGTATTGATTTTAGCAATGCCGAGTAGAAAAAGAATGATAAAAATAGATAGAATAATAATGTCAATAATTGTAAAGGTAGTTGTAAGTGTAGACAGACCACCCAAACCATAGTACACTAGTCGACCAATGGCGACAATGACCAAGATCAAATTAAAAATGAGTGCACCAGTTATTGTAGCAAGAGCAATCTAGAAGAAGACGAAGAAGAAAAACAATGATAATAACGAGGTCGCATGAATGTCGGGATTACGCAGTTACCTGGTACTTGATCATCTCGAGTTTGCGAAACACATCACGTAATTGAGCCAGAAAAAGATCAAGATTATTTCCATCTTTCAAATTTAAATAATATTTCTTTGATTTCGGTAAACTTACATCATATCTATTGTCATTTGCAGCTTGTCGTAAAATAACTAGAACTTCTGAATAAAGAATTTTGTACATGGAAAATGCATAGCTAAGCATAAGAAGAAATGTCAAATAGAGAGGAAGACCAAGAATATAATAGGATGTTTTAATAAGGTCAACTTGAAATGGTTTTGTTGTATTTGGATATGTTGCATTGCTGATATATGTACGATAAATAACAGGTATACACGTATGAATCGAAGCAAGACCGACGAGGAAAATTAATTCGACTATTTTCAGTACAATCATTGGCTTTTTTTTCGTTTTAATTTCTGATTTATAAATTTCATGGAAAACCTTGGGCAATTTATTCCAAATCTTTCTCCTCTTTGTTTTATTAATTGTTTGTTTTTTATCTGATGAACCATCTTTTGATTCAAATTGTGCGACCGTCATACGGTCGCCATCGATCGTTGTCACTTTGACTTCATGTTTAAGCATTTGAATTTCAGATTCATCACGATATCGTTCAAATTCTCGTCTCTTCTTCTCGGTTTTAGTCGATAGGAACCTATGTACTGTATAAAGATAAGCAACTGCAACCATATAAATCATAAGTGCAAATGGCCAATATGCTTCAAGAGAATTGACGTGCCAGTCGGAATTATCATCATAATAGACGTGATACAAGATAATATTGATTATAATCAAATAGACAACAGTCGTCAATAGTGCACAAAGAAAAGCGAGAAGAATAGTAATAAAAATCCATACAATTTTGGCTACATATTTTGAACGATTATCTTCCTCATTTAAATAATATATCAGTCGAACAAAGACAACAATTGGTAGACCAATAACACCTAATAGAAATAATAATGTGTACCGAATAGTAGCACCTACGGAAAATGGACTCTTGTTCTTACTACCATCGGATACTTTCAAACTTTCTGTTAGTGTCTTATAAGTTTTCTTACATAAGTCCTCGATATTTTCATCAAATAGTGAAGGTGAACATTTTAATTTCGAAAATGTAGGCGCTTGAAACGTTTGAATACGTAGGTGTTCGGTGAGCGTATCGATAATTAACGTTTGAAAATCATTTTTATTACAGTATTCATGCACTGAATCTTGTGTATGATCATAAACAATTGGAAGAAGATTATCGACAGTAAGATCCTTATCGATATATTTGAATAGAGTCAATAGACCAATTGTCCATTCACGTTCATCAAGCATACTTGACTTATCCTTATCGCAAAATGAATAAAACTTCGACAGAGCTGGGTCCTTGCTTTCTTGCTTTTCCGATGGCGGCAGCTTTGGACCAAAGGGCAATCTTTTCAGGCCCTTGGTGGGTTGATCTGTAACGGCAACATGCAAACAAAGACGTATATAGAGGAGGAAGGCATGGTTTTGAAATGGTGCATCAGTGTCGCCCTCAAGATCATTATCACCCTTTTCATCTTCATCCAAATGGACGAGATTCGTGACAATATTGCTGAAAAATCTTGCTGTGTCGTGATTTAACTGTTGACCTATGGCCGACATCTGCCGGTTGTTGTCGAACGTCGTCATTAGAGATGACGTCGCTGTCGCCGTTGCTGTTTTCGAGGTCACCAGATCGAAGATGACAGGCATGTTGTCCTGATCAATGAGAGACATGTTGTCCAGATCAGCGGAATGTGTGTAAGAAGGCGTCAATAGGCACATGTTGTCGAACAATTCATATCCGTGATAGTAAATTCGGCAACGACGCGCTCGGTCGATGTTGCATGTTTTGATGGCTTGGTCTTTGAGTGTCTTGATCGTCATGTCTCTGTCAGTGCATTTAATCCAAGCAACTGTACTACTGTCAACGGTTTTTTGTTTCTCATCCCAGACTCGTAACAGCACGCCTGACCTGCGCGAGACTTGCTCAGGCTTGTAAAGTTCGAACGGACCTACATACATAAAAAAAGATTTGTATTTCTAGAGGTTTGTCAAATTTCTACTAGTAAACATACCACCTTCTCGATTTTCCTTTACATTTGAATTATTTCGTGATATAATAAGAACATATAGAACGGAACCAGCATGGAAAGATTGATGGGCAAAGATATCTTCTTCCTGAAGTATACGATTTTTATGTAACACGCAAACAATCGGGTGATCATCAGTGTTATCTAAAACATTTTTTCAGATATATTGACTTATTCCAGATATTACATTTTTTTTGCTAAATTTACCTTTTCGCCAATATTTTGGATCAACAATTCTGTTAATAAATTCGATTGTATTCCATTTGACGTCGTAAAAAACTTGAAACTTCTTGAAAAGTTTTCGACCTGGTATATTAATCTCATATTTTTTATGACCTATCACCATCACAGACAATGTATGTTTATTATCATGTGTGTTTGAATTTTCTTGTTGATAATCATCAGATTTCGGGCATTTGTTTTCATGGAGGGGATTGTTTAAAACCAAGGAAGACACGCTGGGTGACCTTAGCTAACGGGATTGCTCATCATTTGATCGGCGACGATTAGATCTATTCTCCTTGAACCCATGTTCTTGAAATTGGCCTGAAGGCGTTGTGGTCTCATCCATATCGGTGACTGAGTACAACAATATTGGGAGAAAAAAAGTCGAAACTATAATTTAGTTTCCTTACTTTGGACTGATTGAATTTGTATTGAGATTCCAGTATCCGATAACATGTTGCCAATATAATCAATTAATCGTATTCACAATGTCAATTTTTTCAGCTATATTTGTTACACTAATGGTCTGAATATTAGGTGCTATTAATATTTTGTCTCAGAAGGCAACAATAAGCTAAACTGGATACAAAATTTAAAAAAAATAATGTATGCAATGCAAGGGAGAAATAGTTGATTTAATTATTTGAAACTACGTTTTAAATCAGTAAAGCACGTTCAGATCATCAAATCAGTTTCAAATAAACAGTCGCCTGTCGAATTAAAAAAAGTCAATTTTCAAATAAGCGAATTAGGCTTAAATAAAAGAGTTATAATCTGTTTCTATGGCTCCTGGTTAGCTCCTCATTACCGGGAGACTATCTTTTTCTGTCATATTAATCATTTCTATTGTGTTCTATCGTTCCCGTCGACTCTCGATGTCTCGTCATCCGTTCTGAACAATAGCTCGATAAAAGAAAATAAGTCTCAATTTAATATGCAGAACAATTATGCGGGCAGCAATGCATAACTGATCAGTCATTTTAGACTGAAGTCGAACTGGACCCATTCAGCTATAAAAAAGATTGAATTGCTGCTCGAACTCTGGTAAACCGGCGTGACTGACCGGAGTCTGTATCAACTCGAAAAAATTCAGTTTTCGTACTTCTGACGGTAAATATTTAACTAATTTCTCCGATATCCAGCTTTACGCCGGCGCTGGCCGAACATTTTCTGTAACAGTAATTTAAACATATAGGGATGGATGCAGATGAAAAATAATCCTGTTTTGTAGATTTCGCACTAAAAAGGAGGGGGGCTTTGGTGAGTTGGATCGGTCAGTCTGGATTCGATCCGATTCGATCCCTTTCAACCTACTTTCTCAAAAACATGATCCGATTCAATTCGGTTTGACTGAGTCGAATTGAATCTAATACCTAACCGTTCAAACCGGTTTCGGTCTTGGCACTGCTTCTGCCATAAAGAGACTTCAACAGTCTCTTTTTTTCCATATTTTCTGCTTCGTCACTTCTTTCCCTTGAGTGAGATAGATGCGACACAGCACCACACCCACCATCACAACACTTCTAGTGTCTTGTTTTATCTTCTTTCCACGCGTTCTCTCGAATGTGGATGAAGATGGCAGTTTTTCGGCAGATATTTTTCTGAAGGTTAGATGTAAGGATTTATGATCGTCAAATACCCTTTCATAAACCATTTTTCGGTAGAATAAGGAAGGTATGGAAGGGCTTGTTGGTCTCATATCCCTTCAAAAGGGTTTATTATATATTGCACTTTCATAAATCCTTGAATGGTTTATTATTCTACGGTTTTTCTTACAATGCGGTACGGTATAGAGATAGAATCAAGATGACTCGTATATCTTTTTAACTAGTTCGAAAGGCACAGTTCAGATCTCTTGCCGATTTCTACAATCAAATTTTCTGATTGATAATGTACATCCTAAAATCAACGATTCAGCCTTCCATCAATTTCCTGCAAAGTTTCCGTTGTCAAAGCTACATTTCGTATTCAGTTATTTTCAAAATTTATCTAATTGATCTTCGAGTTTTGATGCGGCCCAGAAATGACTATTCGTGAAAGCTCCTGGATATATTTGAGAATTGAATCTAGATTATATTGAAAATCAAAAATCCAATTTCAAACCTTACAACGGAGCAATCACAACGATACTCGAAATACGATGACAAACGAGAACAAAAGTTTAGATGTGTAGGTCTTCTGGCATCTTATTTTAAATTTACCTATATTTCAATTACACTCTGCGCGTCACAAATTCAACTTTGGCTTCCTTGCATGTTCTTGTCAAGCTTGGCCTGAATATGCAATACTCTAGACCTTCTGTTTTCACGCATCGGAAACTGAAGATGTTCAACTTTCATCTGATCTCTAAACCCTATCAGACACATGCAAATAAACGGAGGTCTGAAATCACGCATTTTACAAAGATATTCCACAGTTTTGAGCTGCAAAATACGTTCGAAAGAAGCAAGATGCATATCTTTCTACAGTGTTAGATTGAACCCCGGGTCTTTCTAGCTCGCATCTCCAAACTGCATTACAAAATTATCAACTTTTGCCTCGGCTCGTTTAACGAGCTGAAGTACGAAACACGAAACCGTTTTTAGGTTTCATATCGAACCCTAAAAGGTTTCGTATATGAAGACGAAAACTGTACCTTTCATTTTACAGTGTAGCGCGAGTCGTCGGACTATTCAGGAACAACTAAGAAAAAGCTTACTGCAAAAGTGAAATTGGTTGGTTCTGTCTTGTATGTGTACAATGACTGTCTTTTTGTGTTGCAGTTTGCTGCATTTTCATTAATTGATGAATTCTTATACGAGCCAGGGAAAAGAAAACTAATAAGTAGTTTTACCATGGAAGCATTACGGGCATCATTCAAAAAGTCCTCGTAAAAATAGAGGTCGGCTGTATACTACTAATGTAAAATGGAGTAATACTGATCATTAAGTAATTGCACAATCTCAATACGTGCACATCATATATGACAGGCCGCCACAGTTTACTTTTGCAGTAAACTGCAAAAGAGAAATTTGTTTGGTTCTGTCTTATGTGTGTACATTGACTGACTTTTTGTGTTACAGTTTGCTGCATATTCATACATGGATGAATTCTTATACGAGCTCAAGGTACAGAAAACTAACAAGTAGTTTTACCATGGCACCATTTTCACAGATGCTGACACCAACTATGATATAACACTATCACTGTAAAATCAATCCATGAAATTCTACCATTTTAGAACGGAATCTGTCTGATTAAAATGGAACGAAGAGAGTAATGAAGAAGAGGATTAAAGCGGATGAACGAAGAAACAGTAATAGGCAGATAGAAGAGAATAGAACACTATTGCAGAAATAGTAAGCCGCAATAGCCACAAATCGAAATAGAGAGGAAAAACTAAGAAATCCGAATGAAAAAGAGTGACGATTGTGTATTTACTACTTCACTTCTGGCTACAGGTTGGCATCAAGAGATTGCTGGCGCAACCGTTGACTGAAGAACAGATAAAGTCTGACTCTTCCAAGAATGGTAGAAATAGAATTACAGATCAAGGGAAGCAACCGGATTCTGAGATTCTAGTAGGGTTCTATATGGTTGTGAAATCTCAGAATCCTCTTTTCCCTCTTGAAATACAGGCTACTATTTAAGGCCTACTGTAATGGATGATAAGGTATTGACGTTTTATGAGATTCTATGTTACTTTATGAAATTCTGTGTGACTCTACAGGATTCTAGAACACCAGAAACCTGTAGAATCTGCTTTTTATCCCATTGTCGGATATACTGAATTCGAAGTTCTGTCAGACCAGAGCATCGTATACTGTACTCGAATAGATCAGTTCAACAATTTAATATTATTCAAGGAATTAACTCTCTGATGTTTTCTGTTGTAGGGTTCCCTGGTCAAACTGGTTGAGAAACACGCGAGAATCATTCCAGTCTGAGGGGCGCACTTATTCAGAAGTTTTGTTACTTCGGCAAAACTCAACATTTATGAGGTGAAGCAGCACTGACGGCTACGCCACTAGGGGTGGTATAGCCCTATCTATCTTGCTGAACATCCGCCGTTGCACCTGCTCTCCGTGCGTTGGACATGCCAATTAAGAGCATTTGCGTCACCGCAGCTTCAACCCTGAATTATTGAGAAGTTATCTCCGTTCGACGGACTTGCCACACAGTGTTAATCTGTTTCACTGGGTAGCCCTTTGTTTCTTTGAGCATGGAATATCACACACTGCAGTAGATAGATAATGCTGAACTGTTTCTGTCTTTCCAAACTCACACAAACCTGTTTGTTGACAATGATTTTTGTATAAATCATCT